CGCTGGACTGCAAAATCTTGAATTGGGAGGCCTGCAGTTCAAGCTCACCATCTGCTCCTTGGAAACCCTATACAGGGTCATTATAGGTTGGAACCTGACTCAGTGGCACTTAACAACAACATACCACAAGTATGCTATCCCAGTGTCAACTAGTTCTTCTTTTGTACAGTGATTCTGTGTATTCCTTTCTATCTTCTTTTGTGGCGTCCTGCATTGTTCAGTATTCTGTGTGTTGAATATTCAATATTGAATGTCAAGACTTGAGTTTTTCTTCATTTCCTTCAACTTGAGAAATGTCAAGCGTGTTTTAACCATTTGTTTTTCTAACTCCTGGTATTTGCACATTTCATTGTAATACTTCGTCTTCTTAACCTGTCCAATGAAGTTTTCTTTCTGTTCAGCTCTTTTACTTCTTTATTTCACTTTACCCACTCTGTTCAAAAGCAAGTTTTAGAGTCTCTTCTGATAGCTACTTTAGTCTTTTCTTTCTGTCCTTTTAATGACCTTTTGCTTTCTTCATGTTTGATTCTCTTGACATCATCCTAACTTTTCTGGTCTTTGGTCAGTAGGGTAGAATTGTCAAATTTGTCCTTGGTGATGGTCTCTTAATCTAGGTGGGATCATTCAAGGCTCTCATTGACTTATTTTAATGTTCTTCAGCTTTATCCTGAACTTGCATATATATATGTGCAGTTGATGGTTGGCCTCTGATTTTGTTTTGGCTGATAAGGGTTTCTCCATTTTTTCCTACAGATGTAGTCAGTTTGATTCTTATGTATTCCATCTCTTGAGGTCTACATGTAGAGTCGCCATTTATACTGTTGAAAAAAGGTATTTGCAATGAAGTCTTGGCAAAATTCTTTCATGCATTTCTGACATCATTTGTTTACAAAAGCCATATTTTTAAACTACCAATCCCTTCTCTTTGTTTCCAGCTTTACCATTCCAGTCGCCAGTAGTGCATATTGTTGGCTTCTTTGATCAATCTCAGACTGAAGAATTTGGTAGAATTCTTCCGTTTCTGCATTACTGACTTTGGCAAGTTAGTTTGTAAATTTGCATAATAGTTGAATTAACTGGTCTTCCTGGTGGGCATTTAGATATTATCCTGTTATAGACAGTATTGTACTTCAAGGTAGATCTTGAAATGTTCTTTTTGATGATGCATTTTGTCATTCCTAGCATAGTACACCTGGTCAGATTCAAATTGGCAGTAACAGTCCGTTTCAGTTCACTAATGCCTTGGGTATCAATTTTTACGTGTTCCATTTCATTTTTAGTTTTTAATACATTTTTAACATGTCGATTATGTAATATATACATATCACTGAGCAGAATTCATTGATAAGCACTCTCCAGGAGTACATAATCCAGTGGTAGAAAGTATAATATGAAAATGAAAATAATATAAGACTTTATGTGCAGAAGTACTGTGGCGTATAGAATCACATATAACAGGGGAGATTAACTCTGACTGGAATCATGGATATTACTTTTGGGAATCAGAAAGTGGTTCTCTGTAGTTGGTATACGGGGGCAGAGCGATGGTGCAGACAATGAGGTGAAAAATTTTGGAGGGAATGAAGAGATATTGGTAGTTTTGAACTTCCAGGCAAGGAAGGCTAGACTTCAGTTGATAGTAGAGATAACCTTGTAAAGTGTGCATTCAGAGGTGAGTGATATGGTCTTCTCTGGTCAGAATGGGAGACACAGGAGAAAGGAGGTGGCCCAGTTGAGAAGGCAATGTCAGTCAGCAGGTGGGAGGATAGCACTGAAACGAAGTGAAAACAGTTGCCTTGTTCTTAGAACATTCTCCCATTGTTAAAATGGGTAAATGGGAGCATGGAAAAGTTGAGTGATCACACAGTACCACAAAGTAACAGTCATGTGGGGGTCAAAATGATAGCAGCCAACATTTATTAACCACTTACTGTATTCTAATCAGGTCCCTAGGTGATGCAGACAGTTTGAGCATGTATCATAAGGTTGGAAGTTTGAACCCAAGCTGCAGTGAAAGAAAGGCCAGATGATCTATTTCCATGATGGTTAGTAAGAAAGCCCTACTAACTACTCCATATAGTTCTACTCTGTAACACTACTCATGGTTTTAGTTTTTGTTTATATTCTAGTCACTGTCCTGAGCGTTTTACTCATAGCATTCTTAGGACATAACTGTTATACCTATCTCCCTATCCCAATAGATATGTTAAATGACTTACAGCTAAGAAGTGGCAATGACAGGAAAAAAACCTAGGTAGTCTGTATTCAGGATTTGCATGCTTTTAAGTCACACCCATCGTAGGCAGTACTGTCACCCTCAGCCTTCAAGAAACTAGGTGCGTAAAGATGAATCTAAAAAGCAGATTTTTGGCTTTCTTGCTCTCCCAAACTTTAGAAGAATAATAGTCTTTATTGAACCAACTTACTAGCCTGCCTGGTTTACATATAAACATTTATTTCCTCTGACAGGAATTGGATGTTTACCCAGGCCTTGTCACACCTAGCAGCCTTCCCTGGCTATTTCGTTGTCTCCTAGTCATGAAGCCAAGTGTTCTTGGCTGGCTGTGAGCCGTGGAGTCTGGTCTGACTCATAGTGACCCTGTACAGGGTTTCCGAGGCTGTAAATCTTTACGGGAGCAGAACACCTCATCTTTCTTCCACGGAACAGCACAGGCCGATTCGTAACCACTATGCTACCAGAGCTCCTTAGGGGTTCTTAGAGGACATAAATGTCATTTTTTAGCGTACTCACCTTGAAATTCCCTATTGTAGGAGGGAATACAGTCCTCCCACTGAGAATTTGACCTTATCTGAAGAGAAGATTGCTCCAGCAGTTTTTAGATAAGGCAGTAACATTGGTGCCAAGAATTTAGGACTCTGACTTTCAAAAGCCTCAGAGTCTATCTCTGAAGACTCAGGTAAATAAGACCACATGTGGTATGTGCTGGAAAAGTGGAGCAAAAATTAGGCATCTTACATACTGTCTGGTCAGGGCTAGAGAAGACTACCCAAAGGTTTTTGGAAAAGGTGGTTTGGAACTGCTAAGTCAAGTATCACTTGTGCACGGAATTAGTACTTGATAATAATTCTCTATCTGGTGGTTACGTGCCATGGAGTCACAACCAACTCACAGTAGCCCTGTACAGGGTTTCTGAGTCTGCAAATCTTTACAGGAGCAGAATACCTCATCTTTCTCCTGCAGGACAGCTGGTATTTTCAAACTGCTGACGTTAAGGTTTGCAGCCCGATTCATAACCATTAGGCTACCAGAGCTCCGGTGTGGTGCTGTGGGTTAATGCGCCAGACTGCAGAGCCGTTTGATCTGCAAGGTTGGCAGTTCAAGCGCACCAGCGTCTCCTTGGAAACCCTATATGGGTTCTCTATGGGTCGGAACCGACTTGACGGCACTTAACAACAGTAATTCTCTATTAGGGTTACAGTAGACCCTAAACCTGTCTTTGTAATGATTATTAGCAAAGAGACAAATATAACATGTAAGACATCAAGTAGTAATAAATGCTCTGAAGAAAAATAAGTAAAACAGGGTAAAGGAATGGAGAGCAAATGGGGTAGAGTGGAATGCTAGTTTATATAAAATATTCACCTTTCTGAGGAAGTGATATTTGAACAGAGACCTGAATGAATGAAGAGAAAGAACAAACTTGAGCTAAAGAGTAAATTAGAGGGAAAAACAGCATTGAAGCTGCAAGCTAAGCCCTACCACGTTCAATAGACTCCTGTGAACCCAGTGGAGAGTTGGTTGGCCAGCAGTGTGGCAAGACCTGGGGACTCTTCAGCCCAGAGCCAGTGACATAGCCACAGAGGACTAGAATGGAGAGTGAAGCATCCAGCTGATAAGAGAGGGCATATGCACAAGAACACCCACACTTGCAGATACTACGCACTTGACCTGGCTTCAGTGACTGGATCAGAACTCAACTAGAAGAAGAAAAGGAAAAAAAAGAGTAATCTGATACAATTTGATGAACTTGTCCTACACCTATGGATGCAGTAGCTCAAAAGAGGCAACAAATCTTTACAGCAAGGATCATTCCCACCCCCTTCATACACAGAGTAGACAGGAATGGGCAACTTGGACATTGGCTACCCAAAATGGGGGGGGGGGGCTACAAAGGCAAGAAGTGACTGGCTTACAAGCTTTCAAGAGGGAACCTAGATCCAGAGGGCCTGGAGGAAGGTAGAATCTCCACTGAGTAGTATCCAGTCTGTCAAGGCAGGGCTGATGAAAGGAAATGCGGATAGGTCTCTTATAATACAATAGTGAATAATTGTTATCAGGAGTGATTGTGAGGGTTGGAAATGTAAAGGTAGAAGTTTTGTAGCAAGGAGGGGAGTGATTAACTTTTCAGTCTAGGAGTGGAGGTCCCTGAGACCATGAAGGGAGAAGAGGGGAGAGCAGGAACCTACCCAGAGAAGCATTGATGCCTGAGATGGAGGCAGAGACGATGGCATGAAAAGATGGAGCAGCTGGGGACTTTAGACCCTGGGGGGGGGGGGTGCTTGTAGGGTATACACTTTGGTTGGTTGATGATGCATGGAGGACATTGTAACCATGGCAGTGTGATAAGATGAATGTAAAACTAATGTTCTCCCATGTAAACTATCACATAATTCACAATAAACCGTAAAAAAAAGGAAACAACCAAAAAAAAAAGAGTAAATTAGAACATTAATCTGAATGCTGTTAGCAGCATCCATGCTGGAGAAAGCATTCTTTGACACTGCTCTTAAGGAGTAGGGTGGCCTTGCCATGTTTTTTTTTAATCCCCCATGTTGTTTTGCTTAGCTGTCTGGCCCAGAGTTCTGATGACTAATAATGCTCTTTATCAAGACCCCCTTGATGATAGGAGAAAAGCCAGCAGGCAGGCTTGGGGCATAGTCATCCTGGGGATGCTTAGATGTTTGTGACTAGGGACGCATAGTTCCCCTTGGTGTTTGTTTGTATCGCTCTCACAGTGCTTTCTCCTCTCCTCTTTCAGTTTGAAGGATGACCTCTAGGAAGAAAGTGTTGCTGAAAGTTATCATCCTGGGAGATTCTGGGTAAGTTGTTCCCATGAATTTGAGCCAACAGGTTGACTTGGATTTAGGTATGAACTTTGGAACCTCTGCCCTCCACCCTGAAATGTGTCACCTCCTTCTCTGTGGTGGTGGCGCACAGCCTTTGGTGGCACACAGCTATTTTAGAACACTGCAGAAATCGGCCTGAGCCCTTGTTATGTTACCCTTTGTTCTAAATATATATATTTAGGTGAAAATTTACACAATAAATTGGGTTTTCGTTTAACAATTTGTACACAAAATTGTTTCATGATATGGGTTACAATTTTCAGTTTGTCATCATTCTTACTATTTCCATTTGTGTGTGTTCTGTTTTAGTTTTTGTTTTTTTTTAAACTATTATGAATTGAGTGAAGGTTCACAGAAAACATCATCAGTTTTTCATTTAGCAGATAAAATAGTTTATCTCAATGATTGCAATCCTTTCCATGTACCAACAGTTATCGGCTTCCTCCCTGTGGTTCCTATTTCCATTCCACCCACCTTCCCATCCACTTCGTCCTCAAGGAAATGTTGCCCTTTTGATTTTAAATGACTGCCTGTGCCATCATTCATACTGAGCGTTCCTTACTAGAGTTACTGTCTTATCTGCTGCTTGACTTAACATTAGGCCATGAGGGGGTGTTCCTTTCCAGACCTGAAGGTGGTCCAGGGCCATTGTCTCAGGTTCCTCCAGGCTCTTTCTGACCAGTAAGCCCGACCTTTTATTTATTTATTTATTTTTTAATAAGTTTGAGTTTTGTTCCACACAGTTAATTCTTTTAAGGGACACATTACTCACAGGTGATTTCATGTATTTTATTATCCAATGTATTGTTTGGCTGAAAGGTGACTACAAAGAGTGCCTTTAGTTCTAGGTTAAAAGGGTATGTAAAGGCCCAGCAGGGAAAATCTAAAAATCAGAAATGACAGTCTGATTGGCTACTATAAGAACAAGGAAGTTGTTCACCAGGGAGCCATCAAGGCAAACAATCAATTCCCTTCAGGACAAACCCCCTCCAAGACTGAAACTCAAAAAGAACACATAAGCAGGCATGTAAGCTTGATGGCAACCACATTGGTTTGCTGGTGTGTGGAAGAGGGGGAACAGCAGCAATGAAAAAATGGGCTGAGTTCAACCGCGTTCCCTAGACTCTTGTTGACCTGGAGATGAGAGCAAGAAGAGGAAGAACTGGTTGGTCCGAAGTGTGGTGAGACTTGGAGACACCTGAGCCAATGGACAAGGACATAGCCACAGAGGGTTGGAGCTGGGAGCGAAGCGTCCAGCTGATGATGAAGTTAGGGGAGACGCACAGGAATGCCTAAACTTGTAGATAATACCCACTTGACCTAGCTTCAGTAGCTTGATGATCAGAACTTGACTAGAGGATGATAAAGGAAACAAGTGTAAATTGTTACAATTTGATGAACTTGACCTATACTTATGATTGTAGTAGCTCAAAATACCAACTGAGAGGGAAGTCTTCACATCAAGTATCAATCCTATCCCCTTTCTATATAGGGTTGATAGGGATGGGCCACTTAGACACTGGCTAACTAAAATGGGGTTGGGGGGTTATAAAGGCACAAAGTGATTGGCTTACAAGTTTGCAACAGGGAGTTCCAGAGTGTGTGAGGAAAGGTAGAATCCCCACTGGATAGTTCTCATCTTGTCAAGATGGGTTTGGTAAAAAATATTGGGGATAAGATTCTTGTTATTCATAGTGAATAATTGTTATGACTAATTGCGACTGTCACAACAGTAAAGTAGCTCTGTAACTAAAAGGGGGAGTAGTTAATCCTACTGTCCAGGAACAGGGGACCCTAGGACCATCAAGAGAGAAGAGACCAAGCGGAATGTAGAACCCTCTCCAGAGATGGAGGCAGAGATGAGGACATGCAGAGATAGAGCAGCCAAGGACTCTAGACTCATGGAAAGAGAAAGACTATGTGCTCACAGCCAGGAAGCAAGCTTGCAGAATGTACCTGTTGGTTGTTTACATGATTATGTATTCCTGAGTGTTTTTGTGTACATCCAAATAATAATAATTTTTAAAAAAACGCAGAGGGAATAGAAACAAATACTGTTGAATGATGATGCACGGAAGAGTTTGTAATCATTGCAGTGAAATGATGAGTGTTAATTGAAGTTCTCCAATGTAAACTATCACTCAATTCACAGTAAAAACTTAAAAAATAAAAAAGTTACTGGAAAAATGGATAGAAAAAAAAAAGGGATATCTAAAGGCAACAGTCTTGGGTGCGTCTTTTATTTACTTTTGATACTGAGTTTTCTTCTACTTTTTTCTGCCATTCTATCAGGAATCTTGTATTGTGTTCCTGGTCAAAACAGTAAGTAGTAGTGGAGCACCATCTAATTCTTCTGGACTTAGATTAGAAGCGGCCATGGTTCATACGGGCTGTTAGTCCTGTAGACTAGTTTCTTACTTGAACCTTTGGTTTCCTTCACTCTCTTTTAATCCAGATAAGTAGAGCTCGATAGTTATATCGTATATGACTAGTCACACACTTTTCTGGAGCGTGGTGGCTTTGTAGGATAAATACTGGACTGTGTACTACAAGGTCAGCAGTTCTGTAGGGGAAAACACTGGACTGTGTACCCAACAGCCACTCTGTCGGAGAAAAATGAGGCTTTCTACTCCCTCTAAGATTTGCAACTTCAGAATCCCACTGAGTCAGAACTGACTTGACATACTTAACAACAGCAGCAGCATTAGTTTAGAGAACATGGTGGCTGTTTGAACTCATCCTGGTGGTGCTGTAGGATAAGTACTGGACTGCTATCCACAAGGTCCTTTAAATATTTACAGCCTTAGAAACCGTATACAGGGTCATATGAGTCAGAATCCAAATAAATCAACATACCAATGAGTTGACTGAATTAAGAGTTTACACTGGAATCCCTTTCCTTCAAGTCGGCTAGACTAGAGAGTCCTGCTTATTTAGGTTTGTAACTAGTGACTTCATGACTCCCAGATAGGGATTTTGATTACACTGTGCAGTATATTCTACTGGAGAACTGGTTTCTCGTCCTAGATCTGCCTCTAACCAAATAATTCTTTGTAGCTCTTAAGACTCTATAGCAGTGTTTTTTAAGTTGGTATCTGAAGTGCTCGTGAAATGCATTGATGACTAGAATAATGATAAATGCAGATAATATCAGGTGCGGGTGACATTTTCCATCATTTGAACACCTGAAGAGCTTTGAAAAAAGCATTAGCATCCGCTCAGCCTATATGATCAGTTGTTGTTGTTAAGTGCTATCAAGTCATTTCCGACTCAAAACGACCCAATATATAGGGTTTCCAACATGCAATTGGTGAGGTTGAACCACTGACCTTGCAGTCCAGTGCATTAACCTGTAGTGCCACACCAGGACTAGTAAAAAATAAAAGTAAAACCCATTACCATTGAGTTGATTTCACCTGCCACATTGCAGTTCAAAACGACTTTGCAGTCTAGTACATACCTCTCAGTGTTGCACCAAGGCTCCAGCAAGCCTGTGGTGGTGGCGGTACTGTGCTGTGGAGTCAGTTCCGATTCATGGCGACTCTGTATAGGGTTTCCAAGGCTGTAAATCTTTATGGGAGCAGAAGGTCTCATCCTTTTCCTGCAGAACTGCTGGTAGTTTTGAATTGCTGACCGTGAGATTAGGAGCCTGACTCATAACCACTATGCTACCAGAGCTCCTTAGCAACCCTGTATGACTGAGTAAAACTACCCCATGGCTTCCAAGGCACTAATGTTTACAAAAGCAGACCTGCCGCTTCTTTATCCTGCCATGTGGCTGGTGTGGTGGAACTGTGGACCTTTTGGTTAATAGCCAGGCTACTAGGCAATACCTATATACACACACATATACCCTAGGTGATTCTTACAAGCTGCCGTGATTGAAAACCACAGATTTTAGTCCAGTGTTAACCAAGCCTGCCTGAAAAATCACTGGCCCTTAAGATTACAGATTTCCTGACGACTCCCTTTATCCCAGGAAATTCTGACTCAGGTGAGTTGGAGAACATTGCTTTAGGCTGTATCTGTACTTTCATATCCTCTGCTTATGAACAGACTAAATTAATGTGTTCTTTTGGGGAGAGGAAGGTGATATTATTGTTGACTATAAGGAATGTTTCTGTATTATCTTTAGGGAGCTATTACCTGTCCTAGCCTCATCACAAAAAATCACCAGTTGTGTCTTGCTAAGTTGTTTTTTTTTTTTTTTTTTTTTAATGGAAAACATTTGTGGAGTAGCATGCTTTAAAGAGGTATAGTCTGTTCCGTGGAATATTGATGTTTTCTGTGCTTATGGTCTTTAAAGCTTTATAGAGCCAAAAATTAGCATCTGTTTGAAGCCAGTGACTTTCTGCAGTATTACTTCATTGAACTGAGTTGTTAGTGCCATCAAGTCAGTTCCAACTCATAGCAACCTAGTATAGGGTTTCTGAGGAGCAGCTGGTGGGTTTGAACTGCCGACCTTTCAGTTAACAGTTCAGTGTTTATCCTACAGTGCTACACCAGCAGCAACTTTTCAACATCTGGCCCATAGATATACCTTGTATTTTTATCCCAAGAGAAAGTACAACCCTAAAGTGAGTAATGTGGGAGGTTTGTTGGCATCATCCTCTAGTTTGAGGACAGTTCTTTTCTTCAAAATAGGCAGGTTCCTTATAAAGCTGCAAATATAAAAATTAGTTTTTTGTCCCTTCCTGTCTGGCTTATACTTGTGGGTTTTCTCCAATTTCAGAGTTGGTAAGACATCACTCATGAACCAGTATGTGAACAAGAAATTCAGCAATCAGTACAAAGCCACAATAGGAGCAGACTTTCTGACAAAGGAGGTGATGGTGGATGACAGACTAGTTACAATGCAGGTAAGTACACCTCTTGGCTTTTTTAGCCAAGTCTGTTTGTTCATTTTAGTCACAGTTCTTTTTACTTCATACCCACACATTTTTCTTCAAATTCCATTACTGTATTTGTAGATAATTGGTTTCAGATAGGGTTGTCAGGTAAGATACAAGACGCTCAGTTAAATTAGAATTTCAGATAAACAGTGATTTGTTTTCAATTTTAGTTAGGTATAAGTACTTAATATACTTTTGTTGCAAATATTGTGTAAGATATACTTCACTCAAAATACACTCAAAACTATGAGCTACTTATCGGAAATTCTAATTTAAGAATTTTTAATGTTGTTTTTAAAGTAGGTGCCCTAATTTTCATTTATCAACCATCTTGTAAGGGCTTTCAACAGCTTGGATAAGATAACAGGTTTCTTAGCATAGCCTTTTGAATGCCTTCACATTCTAATTACAAATTCTTCCTCCTCTTTTCATCTCTGTTTCTTTCAAATCATGCCCCACTTCCAAAACCTGCCCTTGCACATGTCTTTGACCAGGACAGTCTCTTTGTCACATCCATACCTATCCTGAAGTCTCCAGCTTTTAGCTCGGATGTTACCTTTTGATGAATACTTGCTGTTGTTGTTACTATTAAGTGCCGTTGAGTTGGTTTTGACTCATAGTAACCCTGATTCAAAAAAGTAAGAGTTGGTGGGTTTGAACCACTTACCTTGTGGTTAGCATCCAGTGCTTATCCTATAGCACCACCACACCAATGCCATTAACTGTTTATACCTCCCAAACCAGGCCCACATCCATTGTTGTCAAGTTGATTCCAACTCATAGTGGTCCCTATATAGGGTTCCCAAGACTGAAAAGCTTTCCAGAAAGGAACAGACCACCTTATTATTTTCTCCCAAAGAGTGGCTGGTGAGTTTGAACTATTATCAACCTGTGTGGTCAGCAGCCCATGTCTAACAAACAGCATCACCAGGGCTCCTTCTACACCATCCAGGGACTCCTAAATATGGCATGCTTAAAAGAAAAGAAGAACATTTCCAGATTGTGGCAGTGGAGAGGGAAAAGAAAAATGGTGATAGTTAACAGACACTTGCCATGGTGATTTGAATGTTTATGACAGAGATTAGACTTTTATCATTTCTACAGGAATAGATGTGACTGCACAAGCCCAAGAGCTGTATTCTCCTTACACATACAAATACACACACACACACCATTGTCTGGAACTTTGAAAGAAGGTTCTTTTAGTGAAAGCAGGAATGGAAGACCTGGGCCCAAGTAAGTTGCAGAACTTGTGTTTAAAGTATGGGCTTAGGGCTTTGCTCCCTTGCTTCTCATTGGAGAATCTCTGACTAGTACCCATATGTGTACATTTTAAATTTTCACTCTATTGTGAAGAATTTGACATAAATCCCGTCACTTTTGGCAGAAACAAAGATTCAACCACTTTATAGGAATCCTTACAACAACTTTACGACAGAAGACAACATCTTTGAAAGTGGGTTCATAGCAACATAAGGAGATAGTGTGCCACAAGAAGGTTCACACTGACTAGAGATTTTTAAAGAAAGGAATTGAAACCATAATGGAAAAGGATACTATAAAAATTAGGATGTGGAAAACTTAGGTGGAAAAAAAAAATCATTGAAATAACTAAATGAGCAGTTAAATATTAAATAGAAGTTTATAGAAAACAGTAAGCTATAAGAACTGAGCAAATTCAAAAGAAAACTCAAAACAGCAGAATATTTAAAATAAAAAACATAAGAACAACCAGAGGGAAAAGACAAATTACTTATACCGGAGCAATAGTTAGAGCAATGAATTCTTTAACAGCAACAGAGGCTGGGGCAAAATACCATCTCTAGATTCTACATATGTTCCAGCCAAACTAAAAGCTGCTTCTGGTGCCGGGAGAACTAGGCCATAGAATTTGGAAATGGGCGCCCGGCCTCTTCTGGGTTGAAGCCATTTCATAGAATCATGCACACACTTTTAGCTTGGACCCTAGATTGTTGCACTCATCAAGTCAGCCACATCTGGGGAATCACAGTACTCTGAGCAGAGTCTGGAAACAACCTCTCACGTTCCTGAGAGGTTGAAACGGAAAACTATCTTGGGTTAATGTGCTAGACTGCAAAGCCAGGCTGAACCACTAGGTCAGTGATTCAAAGTTACCAGCTGCTCCTCAGAAACATTATACAGGGTCACTGTGGGTCAGAACTGACTTAACAGCGCAGTGCAGCTGACATTGATTTCTCAGCAGTAATAATGGAACTCAAAAGACAGTGAAATGTATTGTAAAAGAAATAACAGTGTTTTGTCCGCAGTTCAAACCCACTCAGAAACCCTCGGGTTGCTATGAGTTGGAATCGACTCGATGGCACTTAACAACAAAATGTATCTGATTTTAGAGTGATAGCCCAAATACTAAGAATATATAACTTGCACACTAGTATAAGAACATCAAGATAAAAATTATCCTATTAACCATTAGGAGGAGTTCTGGTGTGGTACTGTGTATTAATGTAATGTGTTGGACTGCAAAGTCAGTTTGAACCACGAGGTCGGCGGTTCAAGCTCACTAGCTGATCCTATACAGGGTCACTATGGGTTGGAACCAACTTAACAACACAACAATTAACCATTAAATGGATTCACATGCATGAAAAAGTTAAAGGTGACATTATAAAGTCATAGTAATTTTTTTTTAATGTTTTTATTGTGATTTGAGTGTAAGTTTACAGTTTTACATTCAACAAATCACACACCTAGTTTTATTACAATGTTTATAATCTCCTCCATGTACCATCAGTTAACAGTATTTCTCTCCTATTCACTTTTGCTCTTTTTTTAAACACTTGGGTATATATATTAATTTATACTACCAGATGGCACATTCTGCAAGTCTGCCTTCCAGCCACCAGCTCTTAGTCCCTCTCTTCCCATGAATCTAGAGTCCTCAGCTGCTCCCTCCATCTCTGCCTCCATCTCTGATGTCGCTGCTTCTCTGGATAAGGCCTCTCATTGGCTTGTGTTCTTCTCCCTTGATGATCCTAGGGTCTTCAGTTTCTGTACTGCATGATTTTCTGGTGGTGGTGATTATGTGCCATGGAGTCTGTTCCAACTCATAGCGACCCTGTATGTATAGGGTTTCCGAGGGTGTAAATTTCTATGGGAGCAGAAAACCTCATCTTTCTCCCATGGAACAGCTGGTAGTTTCGAACTGCTGACCTTGAGGTTAGCAGCCTAATTCGTAACAAATATGCTACCAGAGCTCCTTGTAAGATTAATTACTCCCCCGTTTTTTTTTTTTTACAAAACTTCTACCTTTGCAACTAGTCATGGTAACAATTACTGTTGTAAAGTCATAGTAATTTAAACTGTTTTATATTGGCACCAAGAGAACAGAAGGCATAGAACAGAATATTCTGTGGAGAGGTGGCTTTGCAGAGCAGTGGGAACAGGACAGGCTATTCAATAAATGGGAATGGGACAGGACCTTTCTGTTGGGGGTATAGTGTCAGTGAATGCAAGACCTGAATGTGAAAAAACACAAAATGGAAACTTTAAAATAGCTAATGTATTTTACCTTCGAGAAAGAAAGAATTTAAGATTGAGAAACACAAATCATAAAAGCTTAAAGATTGATAATTTTTATGATTGTAGGTGCCAAGTTCCATAGAGTCGATTCCGGCTCATAGTGGCCTAATGCTTAACAGAAGGAGAAACACCGTTCAGTCTTGCGCTGTTCTCATAAACACAATGTGTGCGTTCATTATTGCAGTCTGTGTCAGTCCATCTAGTTCAGGGTATTCCTCTTTTTTGCTGACCTTGCTTCCATGGTAATTGTTGTTTTTAAGTTCCTTGGAGGTGGTTCTGACTCAACAATCTTGTATAGGGTTTACCAGAAGCAGCTAGTGGGTTTGAACTGCTGACCTTGTGGTTATCAGTTAAGTGCTGATCCTACAGCTCCCATACCAGGATTCTTCCACTAAGGTAGCAAGGCCACATTAAATTAAACATTTATGAATAACAAGATTCTTAATAAGAAAGGCAAATCACAGACCAGGAGAAAATATTGGTTAATACTTAACTAGCAAAGCCTCAGTGTACAAATAACAGACAACCTAATGATAACTAAGCAAAAGATGTGAGCAGAAGAAACCTTAGCTACCAGTGGCTTGACATCAGAGCATTATAAAATGATAAGACTGACAGATCTCTAGAATCTAGGGAATAGAACATTAATAAGCTGATTAATGTGTGAATTTATTAGTAGTATAACCACTTAAGTGAAGACTGTCATCTTGTTCTCCATTGTTGAACAGGAACATATCAAGCAATAAAGCAATTCTATGCCTAGGTATTTATAACCTAAGGGAACTTACTTCTGGAGATGAGGAGAGAGGTAAGTTGGGGAAAACGTTCGTTGAATCCTTTGAGTGTAATAGTAAAACTGCAATTAAGTCAAATAACCAGGGAAATAACGTGGTTCATTAATACAGGAGTCCTGGTGTGGCATTGTAGGATAAGCACTTGACTGCAAGGTCGGTTTGAACCTCAAGGTTGGCAGTTTAAAACTCAGCAGCCACTCCTCAGATGATACTGGGTCATTATGGGTTGAAACTGCTATGCGTCAGAACTGACTTGATGGCACTTAACAAAATATTAATATAGTGGACTACTGTGTGTGTGTGTATGTATGTATATATGCTTTCCACATTGGGGGGGAGCGGTGGGGGGAAGTTGCAAAAAGCTGTACCAGGGACAAGTCCAGGGCAAAATGTTGGCATATCAGATCCATTGAGCTGAACTGACCCTCTGCAGCAAAGCCATGGGAGACCAAGTGAAACATATAGATGGTGATCTCAGAACACTGAGCTTCAGAGGATAGAACAGAGAAGGTGGATTTAGTGCTGACTGGAAGAGGAAGCTGAACAGGAGCAGTAAGAGAAGAAAAACAGGCAGATTATGTGCTGGTGTGGCACTGGGGGCTAATGCACCAGACTGCAAAGCTATTTGAACTGCAAGGTCGGTACTTCAAGCTGACCAGCTGCTCCTTGGAAACCCTATACAGGGTCACTTTGGGTTGGAACCGACTCAACGGCACTTCACAACAACAAATAGGTACAGCAGTTCGAAACTACCAGCTGTTCTACAGGAGACAGATGAGGCTTTCTGCTCCCGTAAAGGTTTACAGCCTCGGAAACTCTGTACAGGGTCGCTATCAGTCGGACCCGACTCCACGGCACATAACAACAAGAAATAGAAGTATGTAAAATAGAACAGACCTTTAAGACTGAAAAGAGATACTATTACAGGAACATCAGCCAAAAAAAACAGCATAAAGTTAAAAAAGGGATTAATGTAGTTACAGGATTTACAGATGAAGAGGAAATAAAATAGATTTCAAGAACAAATAAAATAAAAATACATCTACCTGTAACCCTAAAAACTAGACCAAGCCTTACTCCATATCCTAGCTTAACAATAACCCTAGTCTTAGCTATAACTCCAATGACAAATGAAGTCTTAGACCTAGCTAAGACCTAGTCATAGTCCCAACCCGAACTCTCACTTGCTTACTCCTACCCCCCCCCCCCCCTAAAAAACTGTATGTTTAATTCTGAGGAAAAAAAGAAATCACTATGAGAAGGGATTTTAATTCTTTATTTTATCCTCCTTGTGGGTCTTGAATTCCAAATATCTATTTGGTTGCACATAAAAGTAATGGAGTTCTTATGTATATGTAGTAATTCCACTTTTTAAGATTCTGTCCTAAAGAAACAATCTAAAATACAGAAAAAGTGCTGTATTTTAACATCCACTGTTGAGTTGATTATAGTTGGTGCAAAATTGCCAGCAGCATTCTAAGATTGAACCAACAAGCAAGTTGGTTCACTCCCTTTGTTTTCTGAGTTTGTTTGGGCAACAGTATGGCTGGGAGCTTTGCAGGAGCTAGTGCCATGGTCAGAATTTGGGTGAGGAGAATGATCAGGACGAGGTTTAGACCAAAGTGTGGTATAAGATTCTCTGGCTCCGTAAAACCTTACAATGTGGACAGTGGTCCCTATGTGGTAGGATGGCAGATTTTCTTTTTCCTTTCACCTGATTTTCTGATGTTTGTCTAATAATGTTATTTCTTTAGTGGAAACTTTTTCTTTAATTTATCCAAGCCTAAATTTAAATTCTGTTCATTTAAACTTTTTTCTTGCTTTGTCTTTATAGGAGTAGTTGTCTGTTTCTACTTCCTTACCATGTAACCAAGTCCTTCATGATTCCCCTCCACCTTGGTCCTCTTTTATGAGGAAAGGTTCATTTTTTTCCATTCTTGGATACATGCACAATAAGACCATTGAGAAGCCAGGAAAGCACAAGAGTTAACATCACCAACAGTTTCTGCTGTCTCTCCACTGGTATTATAAGTTTTATTTCCTATAGAAGGATGTATAGGATGACTGAAGATAACACTTCAAAAATTTCTTTACCTAAAAAATTAGAAATTTTCATTGAGGATATCAAAGGGGGGAAAAAATTCTTGCCTGGAATTTTTTCAAATTATTCTCATCAGGATTTAGGAATCAATGGCTTGTTGTCCTCAGATATCCTAGAAAAGAAAATAATTTGATCCTAATAAAGATTATCAACAAGCAGGTGGTGTTCACAAGAACTGTACAAGTTGTATTGATAGAAATACCTAGTTTAACATGCACAAAGCTAAGAAAACCAATGAGGCCAGACAATGAATTTCTAACCCACTGTCCATTGAACATCCCGACTGGAATAGACTGCTGCATGCAGATACCATGCAGTGAGGTTGCCTTTCATTCTTATATTTAAGCCATCATCCTGTCCTAGTTTTGTCTATGGATGTTACCTTATCTAGTAATCTGAACACATGTATTATACCTCACGCTGAAATTCATACCAGCTTCCTAACTTCACTCCATGTGTTGGCAGGACGTGCCACTGCTAAGACATGACTTCTAGGACAGGCCATGTTTTAAAAAGGGTCTTCCCAGAGAGACAGACAAATGAGTGGTTAATGCTTGCATTGGTTCATTGATTAAAGTTACCTGAGAGTGTGGAATAGGTTTCCTTGTTTCCAGAGGTATAAACAAGGTGGTCCGTTGCTGGTTGTGGGGAACCATATTCATCAGAAGAAAAGGCTAAGATCGGCTTCTCAGAGGACACTCTTAGGAATTACCCTTGAATGCTTGTGAATTGCTACCACCAAAAAGGTGGAGCTTGCACTCTGCCCAGCACCATCCATGTAACACGGCCCCTTCCTTGATGCATTTAGCCTCACTATTCTTCACTGAACTATGAGTCTGAATTCAGCCTGAATACTATAAGAAGGTTTTTGTTTTGTTTTGTTTTTGTTTTTTTATGTTTTGTTGTGAATTATGTGATAGTTTACATGGGAAGAGAACATTAGTTTTACATTTCATTGCTTTGGTAAGAGGGTTTTTTTTTAAAGGGGTTTTATGCACTGGACTGCCAACCTCAAGGTTGGCAGTTCAAGCCACTCCTTGGAACCCCTATACAGGATCTCTATGAGTCAGAACTGTCTCTATGGTACTTCATAACAGCCAGTGTTGAAGTTCTGGCTCTGCTCCTGCTTGCCACTATGTCATTTAAGGCAGGCCTCAAGAGCAAACAAGGAGCTCTGGTAGCGTAGTGGTTACAAATTGGGCTGCTAACCTCAAGGTCAGCAATTCAAAACTACCAGTGGTTCCATGGGAGAAAAATGAGGCTTTCACAGGGTCGCTATGGGTCGGAACCGATTCGACAGCACTTTACAACAAGAACAAAAAACAAGTAAAAAAGAATGCGGGGAAAAAAGGAACAGTGCTGTGGTATTGAATTTGAATTCCGTCAATATGGGAAAAAATTAAAACAAAAAGAATAAACTAGCAGGTATCTGTCTCTGCACATGATAATCCTTTTTTTGAGAGGTCTTGTGGGATTTGAAATGTTATGAGTCTTGTTTTCCATGATAGTGTTATGATACTGCTCTTTCCATCCCATGTATTGCCCCGGTGCATGTTATTGTAACTGTGCATCCATCCCTTCTTTGTGTAGTGAGACTCTACAACTTGAACTGTTTGCTCAGGCTGGACATGCACTAGACACTGAGTGTGTGTGCTCTGGGCTCCCAGGGAGGCAGGACTGCCTGAGAAGGGCTCCACAGAGGATGCCAACCCCTCCTCTATAGCATTTGTTTCTAGAGAGGTAACTATAGTGACCTGGTTGTTTTGATCCAAACTCCTTGCCTTTTGCACAGTTGGTTTGTGATAAAGATCCATGTCACCTGGAAAGCTGTCTCCTTAGTGACCACAGGCAGCTTCTGTCCCAGTTACTCTCTGAACCCAGTATATCACCCAGAGTCTGTGCCCATTCTCAGAACACTAGTTCACCGTTCCAAACTGACAAGAGTGCCCTGTTAGGGGACACCTAGGGCTGTGAGGAAGTTCTCATAGTCTTTCTCTTGATCTGTCATGGTTATTGTTCATTTTTTATTTTTAAATTAAATCTAATAATATACTGATCTCTTTTAAAGGTAAAATTTACATAACAGTAAAATGTCATCGATTTAGATGTACAATTCAGTGATAAATCACCTCCCCATATTTCTATTACCCCCAGAAAGTTCCCAGAATACACACTCTTGTGACCCGTGTGCCTAGATCAACATTTTTAACACCCCAGAAAGGGTTTTTTTCTGTCTTTTCCCACTTAGTATCTCCCTTTCTCAAACATACACACTGCGTTTATCATGACTACTTCCCCTGTATCCAGTCCCTTTTTTCCACTACCTGCCCTCTTCTCCCCCAGCAGTGTCCCTTTAATCTCCTGGTGCCCTGTCTACACCTCTGAGAAATAAACATTTGTCTCTTGCAGATATGGGACACAGCAGGACAGGAACGGTTCCAGTCTCTTGGTGTGGCTTTCTACAGAGGTGCAGACTGCTGCGTCCTGGTATTTGATGTGACTGCCCCCAATACATTCAAAACCCTTGATAGCTGGAGAGATGAGTTTCTCATCCAGGCCAGTCCCAGGGATCCTGAAAACTTCCCCTTTGTTGTGTTGGGCAACAAGATTGACCTCGAAAACAGACAGGTAAGTGCTAAAACTAGTGGAAATCACAAACTGTGCTTATCGACCCTTGTGGCCACAGAAAGGACCTTTTAGAAACAGCTGAATTTGGGATCACAGGAGCTGGTTTTAGCTTTAATTGGTAAAAAGTTGCCTGTCTCAAGGGCTAGTACCCTTAAGTAAGTACCCAAGGGGTGGGGGCTGGAGAAATTGGTCCATAAACCACCCAAGAGTTAGAAGGGCAACTAGCTAGCCATCTGCTGCACAGCCCTTGAAATAGGTCTCTGCTCCCATACCTAGTAGGCATAACTCTTAACTTCCTTTTTATAAAACGGGGCTGGTGAAAGTCCCTTTGAAATGTGCTAACAAAGTACCAAGCCCATTCTGTGCAGTTGCCTTTACTTGCTGGCTGTCTCTGTCCAAGTGTGATTATTTAACTTGAGGCAGTTGGCCTTTTGAATGTGAAGGCAGATTTGAATATAAAGCCAGGCTTTATGCTCTGTGAAAACTACTTAAGAGTCTAAGCCTTGTGGACACCTTTGGATCAGATGGCAGTATACCCTGAAACCCAGGCACAGACCCCCAGCTTGGAAACTGGTGGCTTTTTAGTTGGCCTGTCGTTACTTTCCTCTCTTACCTGAGCGACTGGCTTCTATGGTGCTCCTGTGAATTTGGGGGACTCGGTGCTAAGGCAGAATGGCCATAGAAGCTGCCATTTGTTAATCTAGACTGCCTTCAGGCTCGCTGCCGATGAGTCCTGTTTTAAATCCTCATGCTGTGTCTCCCAGCTGGCTGTGATTTTTAACCTTTCCTCTCTTTCTGCACTTCTGAATCCTAGCTGTCCTTCATAATAGCCAGCAGCGCAGAGGGCCTTGGGGCAAGTCTGCTCCTTCACCTGCACCAGCTATAGTGCAAGGGCGCGGGGCCTTACTGTGAAGGAGTGAGTGAGTCAATGCTAGCTGCTTTTCTGAGCACATATGAGCCCTGCTTCCTTTTCCAGGTGGCCACAAAACGAGCACAGGCCTGGTGCTACAGCAAAAACAATATTCCCTACTTTGAGACTAGTGCCAAGGAAGCCATCAATGTGGAGCAGGCATTCCAGACAATTGCACGGAATGCACTTAAACAGGTAGGTTCTTGGGAGCTGTTTGGTTGTCTCTGGTCCCATCTCAGCCCAGCTTCCTTCCAGAAATTCACCTTGTTTGTGAAAATCTTAAAGTTGTAGAGACTTTGGCTAAAGCCTCCATGTTTGGCTGGGCATGTTGCTTCTTACATGTGGTTAGATCAGGCCACTAGGATGCCCTAGTCAGATTGTTTCTTCCATTTAAGGAGGAGATAAGTTTGGAATACAATCTCACCTTTGCTACCTATCATTAAATCTAGGTATTTAGCATGTCAGAGTTCTCATCCTCTCATCTGTAAAATGACAATACCTGCTTATCAGGGTGGTTTTGAAAACATTTTTTTTAATTACCCTTGTCATGCTAGACTGCAAAGTCAGTTTGAACCGCAAGGTTGGCAATTCAAGCTCACCCAGCCACTCCTGGGAAACACTGTACACAGTGTCACTATAAATCTGGACTAGATGTCACTTAACAACAATTGCGGGAAAGGTTAACCAGAATCTCTAGCATTGTACTTCTTGAGTAATGTTTTGCTGCATTTTTTTCTTGTTTGTTACTAGATACAAAGTTACTTGATGTTGCTATATGATACTCCTTGTAAGCATAGAGAGGCTGTTTTGATTGTGCAAGTCACTGATTCTCAGTTCTCTGTTAGACACTGTATGAGTTGGCAAGGAGCAGGAGCTGTGGAGAGGTTAAATGTGGAAGGAATATGAAGAACACTTGAGGGAGTTCAAATGTTGATTGTCCCAAATGTGTTCTGGTTCCAGGAACCAGGGTTCATCAAATACCATGACTCTCAAGAAGACTTTATGGGCAGGGGAACTCTTAAATGGGTTGTCTGAGGGACTAGGAAAGGTCCTAGTAGCATGTGGTAGAGGTTGCTCCCTGTTTCATCATGAAAAGGAGAGTCTTACACATACGGAATTGTTCATCCTAAAATGCCAGGAGAGTTCCCATTGAGAGACCCTGTTTCTTAGTTATCTAGTGCTGCTACAGCATAAATACTTGTTGTATTACATTTTCACATGTTTTGGGATCTATTCTGGTTTCCCCAGCCTCCTCAGTGATTTGTTTGTTCCTCTGTCAGTACCATTTTAGTATTCCTAGATGCTGGTAGTGCAGCCACTTGGGAATACTGTTTGGCAGTTCCTTACAAAGTGAAACATTGTTGCTGTCTTAGTTCTCTAGTGCTACTGTAACAGAAAGTTTGACTTCAGTGCCAGTGTGTCCGCCCTGGCTGAAAGTCTTTGTCTCTTATCAACTTCTCCTTTGACGATCTATATATGGCCTGCCTCTACCCCATATCTGCATCCTTTTCCAGCTTGACTTCTATCTTAAAGCACACTCGGAACAAATATGACCTTATTAACATAATAAAGAGGCCCTATTCCCAAATGGGAGTCCTGGTGTGGTGCTGTAGGTTAATGCGTTGGACTGAAAGGTCTGCGGTTCAAGCTCACCAGCCACTCCTCGGAAACCCTATACAGGGTCACTATGGGTCAAAACTGACTTGACGGTTCTTAACATTTCCAAATGGGATTACATTCACAAGTATTCCAAACTAAACCTATTGCTGTGTTGCCACCAAGTCAATTCCAACTCACAGTGACCTTGTAGGACAGGCTAGAACTGTCTTCTAGGGTTTCCAAAGCTAAACATTATGGAAGTGGATTACCACACCTTTCTGCAGCAGATTGACTGGTAAATTCAAGTCACCAACTTAAACTAGCAAGTGCTTTAATAACCACTTCACCACCAGGAGTTGTTGAACAAATATTGAACTGCTTCCAACTCACCTGTAAGGGTAGAACTGCCCGATAAAATTTCCAAGGCTGTAATCTTTTCAGAAGCATTTCTTCCAGAGAGCAGCTGGTGGGTTCAAACCAGTGACCTTTCAGTTCACAACAGAACACCTTAACCACTATGGCACCAGAGTTCCTTTCCACAAGTATGAAATACCAAATCAAACCCACTGTCATTGAGTGGATTTTGACTCATAGTGAATCTGTGCAGGGCTCATGAGACTATAGATCTTCATGGGAGCAGGCAGCCTAATCTTTCTCCCTTGGAGCACATGGTGGGTTTGAGCAGCCAACCTTGCAGTTAGCAGTCCACCTCTTATCATATAGTGCCACAAGTAATAGGGATTTAGAATTATAAAACATTTTTTTGAGGGGAAAGATAAATAAAAAAATTTTTTTAATTTACCTTTGTTCTGTAAAGTTTTACCCAAACCACAATTTTTTAAAATTTCCTACCTTTCAAAAAATATTTATAACCACACAGAAATATACATAGGACTTCAACTGGTTTTAAAACTGTTCAGTGTTTGCTGTCATATGTACGTGTTGCATAGCCTGATGACCTGAGTAGGAAACAAATAGCTGTTCCTCTCTCAAAAATGGTAACTGACAGTGTTGCTTTTAGTGTGTACTGCTGTCTCTGAGGGGGCTTTAGGAAATTTGTGGGAAATTTCTGATGCATTTTCCAATTCTGGAAGGAAGCGCCATACTGTTTTCCAGAGTGGCTGGACCATTTTGCATTCTCACCAGCAATGTAGGAGCTTTCTAGCCTTTCCACATCCTCACCACCATTTATTGTCCTCTGCTTTATTGAACTTCGCTGTTATTGCTGGAGTGAGATATCTCATTGCTTTTTGATTTGCATCTCTCTAATCGACTCGACAATACTTAACAACAACAATGGCTAATAATTTTGAACATTTCTTCATATATTTGTTGGCTGCTAAAATGTCTTTCTTGGTGAAGTGTTGTAGTTTCTCCTATAGATTTTAGAAATTAGTCCCTTTCTGATATGTCATTGCAAATGATTTTTTACCATTTGTGGGCTCCCTTTTCACTCTTTTGGTGAAATCTTGTGACGCACATAAGCTTCTAATTTTTAGTATGTACCAATCATCTATTTTGTTTTTTGTGTAATTTTTGGTAGTCTGTGTGTGCCCTGTATTGTTGTTGTTGTTAAGTGCTGTCAAGTCAGTTCTGACCCATAGCAACCCTGTATAGGGTTTCCAGGGTGCCGCTGGTGAGCTTGAACCACCAACCTTGCAGTTCTCAAACAGCTTTACAGTCTGGCACATTAACCCACAGCCCCATACCAGGACTCCGTGCCCTGTATTAGAGCCCTAAAATTTGTCCCTATTTTTTTATTGATGACCTTTATAATTCTGGGATTTATATTTAGGTCTTTAATCCATGCTCAGTTGGTTTGTATATGGTCTTGTTTCAGTCTTTTGCATATTGATTTCCAGTTCTGACAATACCATCTGTTGAAGAGACTATCTTCTCCCCATTCAGTGTATTTTGGCCTTTTGCCAAAGATCAGTTGGCTTTATGTGGATGGGTTCCATTATCATTTAATTCCATTTTTCCATGAACTTTTTGAAGCCCTCTCATAGGATCTTGCCAGTAACCCAATCTCCTGTTCCTGACACTTTTAGGACTTTTCGAGAACACCATTATGGCAGTACTTAGATGAGCAGCACACATTGAAAGCTGTGCTGTCAGCAGCCACCTTTGAACTGGACACAGCTGTTTTGTTTCCTGCTGGATCAAAATATCACAGCAACAGATTTGATTGCTGTACAAACCATATGTGGGCCTTGTTTAGGACGTTGATTGCTGACCCGTTTTAAACCAATTCGGTTAGTCCTGCTTACACAGAAATATTTGTTCCCAGCAGCATTATCCACAGTATTCAAAAAGTAGAAACAACCCAAGTGTTCACAACTAACAAATGGATAAACAAAATGTTGTATGTACACAGAATGGGATGTTACTTAGCCACAAAGAGAAGTATTACTACAAAATCATAGAAACCTTCACTAAAAAATATATAAAAATGTGAAAGTATTGTTTCTCAACATATTCTCCATCTAGGTCTAGAGACTTTTAAAGGCAGTGTTTCCAGCTCTCTAGTCCCCATCCACTCCTCAAAGAATTCTGCACTCTTCAGTTTGTCACGTCAAAACAGCAGTTTTGGCATCCGAGACACTTGAATCAAATGTTGAATTTAGGGAACAAAAATAAATTTGTAAGGGCAAGATCAGTACTATAGGATGGATGGGGTAAGGTTTCCCAATGAGGTTCTCATAGGCCAGCCATTGCTACCTCGAATGAGCGGGTACACGGTCATGGAAAATTATTCCTCAGCACAAATTTTCCTAATAAGCATCTGTGATCATCCTGTGTGCTAAAACAAGTGTATCACTGAGAGAACTTTTCTGTGTCCATCAGGTGATCACAGAGACAGATTTAAACATGTTTTGTTTGGAATAAATGCTGGTGTATGTGAACTGGAACACTTAGCAATACTTTTTGACTTACCCTTGTAAAGTCCTGGTATATGCTACAATAGCATGGATATGGACCTTGAAATGTGTTGAGTTATAGAAGCTAGTCATAAAAGACTCCATTTATATAAAAAGAGCCCCAGATCTTACCGAGAATCAGTCATGTTTTGTCCTGACTGAATGTCTCTCTCCACGTTGACCAGGAGTTACCACAGTATACGTCTTCCTCTTGCTTATTGTGTGGGGTGAACATCTCCTGCCAGAGCCACTGTTAACTGCCTGGTCCTGTTCTGTCCCCCAGTTCCAGGCAGAAGTGTGCCACTCCTAGGAGGAAAGAGCCAGAACTGAGAGTTCTCCTGTGCCTTAAAGCCCTGAGTAACCAACGTTTCTCTCTCCTCCTGTCCAGGAAACAGAGGTGGAGCTGTACAATGAATTCCCTGAACCCATCAAATTGGACAAGAACGACCGGGCCAAGGCCTCAGCGGAAAGCTGCAGTTGCTGAAGGGGCAGAGAGAATAGAGCACAGAGTCCTTCACAAACCAAGAACACACTTAGGCCTTCAAACACAAGCCCCCTTGCCTCTTCCAAACAAAACATAAATTGATCTCTCATATCCAGCTGCCAAAAGAATCCCCACCAAACACAGTCACCCACACACACAACACAGATCTGACACAAGCATACAAACTCAAGTCCACGCCTATGACACAGCTCCATGGGGTCTGCCCCCTAACACACGAGCCCTTGTTAGTGGCAGCAGGACAGGCCAGCTGTAGACATGATTCTGGCGTGAAGTCGGCATTGGAAGCTTATTCTTTTTGTCTACTGGAGAGAGAGAGAGTGCGCGCGAGCTGTTTACAGTTAATCTGTGTCTAATTAGTTACCTGATTTTTTTAAATGTCTGTGGTCTTTTTATCCCACCTCACCCTCCCTCCTTGTGAAGGCTACTCCTTGGGAAGGCTGGTGCCCAGGTTTCATTACAGGCTCACACCCAGTCTGATGAGACTGAGTTTTGTATGTATCTGTTGATGCTTGTTACTTTTAACTAATCAGATCTTTTTACAGTATCCATTTATTATGTAATGCTTCTTAGTAAAGAATCTTATAGTACATGTTAATATATGCAACCAATTAAAAATGTATAAATTAGTGTAAGAAATTCTTGGATTATGTGTTTAAGTCCTGTACTGCAGGTGTGTAAATCGGGAGGGTTTTACCCTGTCTGGATTGCAGAGAGTTTGCAACTCAGAATTCAAAAATCCAGCTAGAGGCAGTATTCTGTACAGTAGGCACAAGAATTATGTACGCCTTTTATCAAAGACTAAGAGCCAAAAAGCTTTTCATCTCTCTAGGGGGAAACTGTCTTGTTCCCTTCTGTGTCTAAATTTTCTAAAAGGTTGATTTGCATAATACAGTGATATTTGCAATGGAGAAAATGGCTCTTGTTTCAAATATTAAAAATCTTTTTTTTCCCCCCCTTTTTTTGCCCCCTGCTCCACACTTCAAAACTCCCCTGGTTAGATCAACATCCTGCTGTAAGAGGGAAAGTAAAATCCTAAAAGATCTGTCCTAGTGATTTTACCTTTGTTCTAGAAGGCGCTCCTTTCGGGATTGTGGTATCCCTAGGTTAGCAAACCTTTTTCTCTTTTTTTTTCCCACCCACCTTGCCAGTATGGCCCATCATTACTTAAACTGTTTTCTTTGGTATGGAACCCTGGCAGTCTGCTCCCTCCCTAGGATCTGCCCCTGAATTGTAGCTTGCTTCGTGGAGCACTTCCCTTTTCTCCAGAGGTCTTACATTCTAGGGTGTGGGCTGAGTTCTTCTGTAAAGAGATGAACATGATGCCAATAAAAATTAACAAGAACAAAGATCATCTGCTTTTACCCTGTCTTTTTTTTTCCTTCTTCCTGACTCTTACTTAGCTCAATGGAGACCATATTAGCTAATCACAGCTGATGCTTTTTCAAACTAAAGAGGTCTCCTTCCCCCCACCCCACAGACCTGTCCCTAACTTGATTTTGAATCACAGTATTGAGAGCAGAAGAGACCCTGAATGAAGAATGTATTGATCTTGTACAGGAACAGTCACAAGTAATGACCCCTGGGCCACATACAATCTATTGGTATAACTTAGTCTCTGCGGGCAGGGGGATGTGTTTTGATTGACCTAATTGATAATGTTTATATGTCACATAATTCTGGATTGGGTGTTTTATAAAAGAGGACCATTTGGCACCAAAAGCCCACTGCCATTGTGTCAATTCTGACTCTCAGGCAACCGTATAGGACTGAATGGAACTGCTTCTGATGGGTTTGTAAGGCTAATAGCTTTACAGTTAAAACCCATCTGAAAGCCTAGGGAGCAGAGCCCTCTCCAGCTTGGGGGCCCAGTCACTGGGCTATAGTTTGTGTGATGATCACCTACAAACCAGGAAAGTGTACCTCTGTGTTCCCCGGTCCTGAGCTTGAACATGACAATGAAATGGCATTGGCTCTAAAACATGAGCTTGGTATTGATTGACCTGTGTGACCTTAGGATGACCTTGAGCCCAACCCCCCCCCATCCCTCCCCCCAACACACACAACTGGCCCTAATCCTGCTATTCCTGACCTTCATCATTCTGATTACCACATTTCACTCTAATTTTAAGATTGACTTTGAACTAACCCTTGTCTTTTCACTAAAGCATGACACTTTGAAATGATGTTGAATCTGACTCTTTTCACTAGTCTGACACCTTTTCCTTATTCCTATTTCGATTTTACCCCAAGTATGTACATTTGACAAAATGTTGGTTTGCTCCAAGCAGTAAGGGTCTATTTTTTAGAAGAATTTCTTAAACTTAAGCTTTTTTTTTTTTCATAATCCCTGAAACTGTAATTGTTGGGTTTTTTTTTCATTTGCAGAATTGAGGGAAATGTTTTAAATGTCAAAATGTACGTGCTGATTGTAATTTTGCATATAAGCACCAGAAATCTGAAACGTTTACAACAACTGTTTAAATGTGTAAGGTGCATATTACAGTCATTTTGAGGGAAGAAAAAGTACCTCAAAGCTCATTAATATTTCAGTAATATCAGAATCATTTCCAACTTGGTTTACAGCAAAGTAACCAATACTGCTTTTAGTTTTTGTGCACAAGACACCTAAATTTTAGATTCAAAATTTTAAGTGTTGCCTTATGTTGAATACGGATCATTAAATCTGTTTAGATTCCAGTTTAAGGTAACTTCATAGATAATATTTAATGCCCATAAACACACACACAAACTTTAATTTTTTAGTGAACATATGAAGTTAACAAGAAAGTTAGGTCTTCTGTATTTTATGTAAGATTTGGTATAAGGCCATTTTGAGTCAAATAAACTTATTTTTTTTTTTAAAGTTATTTTCAGTCCTCTAGTATTTAGGACCCTTCTAAATATGCCAGTATAGCAACAATAAAAAGTTGTTATGGAGTTACATGAAATAAATGCATAATTAATTTCTTGGTTTATACAAAAAAATATATGATATTCAAGCATGCCCCCTTTCAGAATCATAGGATCAACACCATTAACAAATAAGGTAGGTATGTGCCAGTAGTGCACTAAACAGACTAACTCAGCTGTCCTGAATGCCCTAATCAGGTTGGGGGACCCTGGCCTTATTTCCCAGTTCTGTGGAGTTGTCTCTACTGTGAGCAGCTAGTACAAAGTTATTCACATTGCCAACAAACTACCCAGCAAGCTCTACTTCTGAAGGTCATCTCCATTGATAAATGTACTTTTAATATGTCCATTAAAATTTGTGTTTGTGTGTGTTAAGTTTTTCCTATCAAACATTTCTAGGTTTCTAGAGATGTGGGGTAGGAAAGACTAAGAAAAGAGGCTCGTGGGGATTGTCAAGATCATACAGCAACATGGCACTTAGGACGCACCAGCTTGTTCATTTCAAAGATTCCATGGCACTTAACAACATACACGTATAAAAGGAAATAGCTTTCCTCCCTCAAATCCATATTCTTCCATGACAGATTTTCTCAGCAACCGGTATATATATAAATATATTTTTCACAATCTGTTTAGCTATCTGTTGTATACTTTTAGAATTAAAAGGTATTACCACAGCCACCTAAAGATTACGTATTAGGGAAATGTACAAATTATGGTGACTATTTACAGAGATACCTATTTACTTTAGCAGTAAGTAATCTTGACATCAAAAGAGAATGCTCATGCACACGATGAGATGGCTGCATGCACTTCAAATATGTACACGTTTCCTTGGTGACAGCTCTCTCACTGGTAATGAAAGGGCATGTCCTACCGTTGTCCCCACAGTTCCTTTACTCTTGTTTCTGGGGGCTGCATCCTTCCATTTCTGACTTCTGGCCAGCCTTTATACATGTGCCCTTATGGTTTTTATGGACAGTTCAAAAGGGCTTTTTGTCTTAATGCCTTTCTCACCACCGAAGACCCAGTTATCTCTAAAACCAAGATTAGTAGTAATGTATTCCTCAACTCAGAAATGAGCCACCACACCACATAATTGAGTTTGGTTGCTCCATCATATGTTCACATTATGACAACTGTTTCATCTTGTATGGTCTTCAGAAACTCAATAAATGGGGCCATGTCTCCTCCTCACATGTCAAAATATTTGGTGTCTAATGTTCTTGTTTTTCAATTTATCAAAGCAACATTGATGGCTCTCCCAACAGTATTCTTAATTCTGCTTATTAAAGAATTACCTTCTAGACAGATTTTTGGCCCACCACACTGGCTGCTCCATCTACCATTTTAAAACAGTGCTTCTTGGGGCAAGCTTTTGAGCTGCCACATTTGTATCTTGGAGGCTTACAAGAATGGATAGTTGTGTCCAATGCTGACCTTGCAAATCAACGTCCTAAAGTTACATCCATTTTTCTTTCAAATACTTGAGATACAAAATGTCAGTGAAAATACTACCACAGCCACCACCGACTTTGCAGAACCTGCCACCCTCTTGTTTGCTTCATCAGTGCATGGTAGCTTCTCATTAAATAAGCACTGGCTTCCACCACTCTGCTCAGGCCTGTCTGCTCAGTCTTGCCTGAGGTGTATGAAACCTACCTCCTCCCAAGCACCTCATTGCTTCCCTGGCTCTCGGACTCCAGTTTGTTTGGTTTGGGTGGTTTTTTTTTTTTGTTTTTGTATTAATACCAGTTTCTTTTAGTAGCATCATTAAGTGCCATCAAGTTGGACCCTGTATAGTGTTTCCAAGGAGCAACTGGTGGGTTTGAACTGCAGACCTTGCTGTTATCCTAAAACACCACACCAAGACCCCTGAATTTGTTTTGATCCTCAAATTTGACACTTGTTAAGTGCCCTCTAGTCAGTTCCAACTCACAGTGACCCTGCAAATAGGGTTTCCAAGGAGTCGATGGAACAAATTTGTACCACCAACCTTTTGGTCAGCAGGCCAGTACTTACTCTACAGTACCACATGAGGACATCATCTAAATTTGTTCTGTTTCACAGTAAGAATGTGATTTGAGGTGAATGTGTGTTGCCATTTACATTCATCTCAGTTTGCTGTAGCAGTAAGAAGATAACTTTTAGCTTTTTGTGGTGGTTTGGGTAAAAGTTTACAGTGCATATTAGTTTTCCATCCAACAATTCATACAGATTTGATTGTTTCATGACATTAGCTGCAATCGCTTAAATGTAATAACACTCTCCCAGTTCCTCCCTGGGTCCCTGTTTCTAGTTACATCTCTTTGCTGCCGTTTCCTGCCTTCTGAACTTCATGTTTGGGCAAATGTTGCCCTTTGGTTTTCATAAAGTTGGCTCTGAGAACCACGTTTCCTCAGCAGAGGTGTTGCTCACTTTGTTAGGTACCATGGAGTCAGCTCCAATTCAGAGCTACACTATAGCAGAAACACTGCCCAGTCCTGTGCCATCCTCGCAATTGTTGCTCTGTTTGTTGTCACTGTGTCAGTCTACCTATTTATTGTTTGAAAGGAGATCTCTGGGAGTGGGTTCAAGTCCAGGTTTGAACACAGTCTAAGGATCATAGTGTCATGGGTTGCACCAGGCTGTGTTGGATCAGTAAATCGGTCTTGTTTGTGATTTTAAATTTTGTTCTGCATTTTTCTCCCACTCTGTCCAATACCTTCTATTGTGATCCTGATCAGAGAGGTCAGTAATGGTAGCTGATCTCAGGCTAGTGCAGACTGGATTCATTGTTTCCTTCAGTCTTTGATTTTCTTCCCTCCTCTTCCCTCCACACAGGACAAGACCAATAGCTGTATCTTAAGACAGCAGATTGCAAAATTAAGGCCCCAGCAACTACTTACCAAAATAGGATGTAGAACATTATCATGATAGACTGTGTTATATCATTGACCTAAATGTCCTCTGAAACTGTGGTCCTAAGCCCTCAAGCCCAGTGACTCAGTCCCTCAAGGTAATTTGGTTCTGGCTAATAAGTTTTCAAAACTTTGTTATATATCTAGATATACTTATAGCACATGCAGATACATGTGTTGAAATAACTTCGGCCAAATCTGTATGTGCTCCTGGGTATTCTGTATACACCTGTTCAGCTTACATATCCACCTATGTATCCACTCATAAATTGTTTATTATTATTGCAGAATTGTGTGTGTAACATTGCGTGCCCAGTGTTTTCCTTTGCCTTGGTTGTGTTGTACTGATGTTATTGTGTATTGCCTTTTCCTTCACCCAAGTGAATACATATCTACTATCTAGGCAACTAGAGACTGGTTTATGGAGCCCAGAATTTGACCTGAGAGTTAAGGATCCTGACTGATGTAGATTCCTGCTTCCCAGAAGACACCGTTGGGAATCAGAGGGCTGGAGGGATGGCCCCATCCTTCCTGT